ATTTGCTGGCATATTGAGTGCAGCACTTTCACAGCATCATATTTTAGGATTTGAAGTAGCTCAACTGGAATTTCATCACCTCCACTAGCTTTGTTCGTAGCAATGCTTCCTAAGGCCCACTTGACTTCATATTCCATGATGTCTGGCTCTAGGTCAGTGATCACACCATCGTGGTTATCTGTGTCATGACGATCTCTTTTTGTATAGTTCTTCTGTGTATTCTTGCCACCTCTTCTTAATATCTTCTGCTTCTGTTAGGTCCATACCGTTTCTGTCCTTTATTGAGCCCATCTTTGCATGAAATGTTCCCTTGGTATCTCTTATTTTCTTGAAAAGATCTCTAGTCTTTCCCATTTTATTTTTTTCCTCTATCTTTGCATTGATCACTTAGGGAGGCTATATTATCTCCTCTTGCTATTCATTGGAACTCTGCCTTCAGATGTATGTATCTTTCCTTTTCTCCTTTGCCTTTCAACTTCTCTTCTTTTCTCAGCTATTTGTAAGACCTCCTCAGACAACCATTTTGCCTTTTTGCATTTCTTTTTCTTGGGGATGACTTTGATCATGACTTCCTGCACAGTGTTACAAACCTCCATCCGAACCTCCATCTGTAGTTCTTCAGGCACTCAGATCTAATCTTCAGTCTATCAGATCTAATTTAAGCTTTTTGGGGAACAAACTATTTTGCAAAGAAACTGCACCCTTTTTCATTCCCACTAACTGTATACTTTTCTGCATCTTCACTAATATTTGTTCGTTTCTGGTTTTTTGATAGTATCCATCCCAACAGTTGTGAAACAATATCTCATTGTGCTTTTGACCTGCATTTCTCTGATGATGAGTGTTGTTGAGGATCTTTTAATATGCTTGTTGTCCATCTATTTATTTTTTTGGAGAAATGTCTATTCAAGTCTTTAGCCCAGTTTTTAATTAGGTTTTTAAAATTATTGTTGTTTAGTTGTAGAAGTTCTTTATATATTTTGGATATTAACTACTTATCAGATATATGGTTTGCAAATATATTCTCCCATTCCATAGGTTGCCTTTTTTTCTCTCTTGTTTCCTTTGCTGTGCAGAAGTTTTTAAAAAACTGATGAAATCCATTTGTCTATTTTTGCTTTTGTTGCCTGTGCTTTTGGTATCATCATATCCAAGAAATTGTTGCCAAATCCAATGTCCTAAAGCTTTTATTACCCTGAGTTTTCTCCTAGGAATTGTATACTATTAGGTCTTATGTTTAGACCTTTAACTTATTTTTGAGTTAGTTTTTTGTGTATGTTGTAAGATAAGGGTCCAACTTTATTTTTCTGCTTGTGGATATCCTGTTTTCCCATTTGAGAAGAGACTGTCCTTTGCCCAATGTGGAGAAGTTATTTCTGGGCTCTCTATTTTGTTCTATTGATCTATGTAGCTGTCTTTATGCCAGCATGGCACTATTTTGATTACTGTTGCTTTGTAGTATACATTGAAATCAGGAAGTGTGAGGCCTCCAACTTTGTTCTTTTTCAAGGTTATTTTGTCTAGCTGGGGTCCCTTGAGATTCCATTTGAGTTTTAGAGTTTTTCCTTTTTATTTCTTCAAACAGTATGATTGAAATTTGAATAGTGATTGCATTGAATATGTAGATTGCTTTGGGTAGTGTGCTAGTTTGTTTGGACTGCCATAACAAAATACTAGATACCAAGAATTTTGAGGTGGTCCCGTGGTTGGGACTCTGCGCTCTCACTGCCCAGAGCCCCAGATTGAATCCCTGATTGGGGAACTAAGATCTCACAAGCTGTACGAGATGGCAAAAAAAAAAAAAAAAAAAAAACCCAGAAAAAACAAAAACCAGAACACAAAAAACCCCCAGAGACTGGGTGGGTTAAACAACAGAAATTACTTTTTCACAGTTATGGAGGCTAGAAATCCAAGATCAAGGTTCTGGCTGATTTGGTTTGTAGGGAGGCTGTCTTACTGGCTTGTAGACTGCTGTCTTCTTGCTATGTTCTCAGAGGGAGAGAGAGTGAGTGAGTGAATTCTATGGTGTTTTCTTCTTATAGAGACACTAGTCCTATTGAATCAGGACCCTGTTATGACCCTGATGTTGCCAGAGAATCTTCATAAGGTGACAGAATTTTGAGGGGTACAGAGCTAATGAAGGAGAGACAGACAGAAATAAAAATAAATAAGTAAAAAATTTAAAACATATAGTGAGACCTGAGAGAGAGGGAATGATTATGGCCCTTAGCATGAGAAGAAAATGGATTATGGAATAAACAGAAAGGACTTGGAAGATCATATATATTTTATAGAACTTTAATTGTTTCAAGAGTATGCTTTCCTCTCTTTTTTCCTCCTGTTCTAGTCTTCACAGTGTAAACAGTTGATTAGTTTCTAGTCAGTTACTTCTCTTATTTCTGCAGTTCAGACATGGTTGTCTTCATGACTCTATTTATTATCATATATTACAGTACTAAGTGAATATTAAATAAACACTTAAATGTAATTTTTGCTTCCAAATATATAAAGCTATTTGTGTTATATAATTGTAAGGTCCAAGTATGCAATTAAATTTTTCATTAAAATATTTAAAGTAATGTATGATTTCCCCATATATTAGCATATACTTTGATACTTAAGATATTTTTATTTAAAAAGTAAATTAGCATATATATTTTATATAGTTTCTCTCAGTTATGGCCTGCTCATGGAAATACAGGGACCCAGGATAATAAGGAAGAAGCATGGCCTGGGGATCAGTACACTTGATTCTACACCCTTGTTTAAAAAACTCCACTGAGTCATTTCTAAAATCAGAAGAATAGCTCCACCTTTTGTAGAGCTTTTGTAGAAGAACTGAATGAAATAACATATGTGTAAAGAAAAAACAGATGCACTTCACAGTATTATGTTATTTTCATTGATACTACAGGAAATGTTGTTTAGATCCTACATTGGTGTGCAATTGATCCTCACCTTCACTTAGAAGGAAGGGAGCACCCAGTGCAAGTGGTCGGTGTTTTGAATCCCTTGTGACTTCCCTGCTTCTCTACAGACCTGTTGCCTCTGCAATCGCTGCTGCTCCTGGGAACGGGTTGCCCAGCATTGCAGAAGTGTAGCCTGTTGATCCTATCAGGATGAGCGTTGCCGTGCGAATGTCCCTGATGAGTGCAAGCAGTTGTGAGTAGCTGTTTATTATTTTTCCTTTCTGTTTCTCTGGCAGCTCCTAAAGTCTCATTGGTTAGATAATTTTGCCAAAGACTCTGTGAACCCTGGAGTCATGGTGTTGCTGGGCTGTGGTGCCTTATCCAGTACCTGTGGCCAGCTGGCCAGCTACCCCTTGGCTTTGGTGAGAACACGCATGCAGGCTCAAGGTGAGTTTTGAATGAAAGCAGGACACTGATAAAAAGTATGGCATCAATAACATGCTTCTGGAACTCTCAAATTCCACTGAGACAGCAGAGTGTGGTTTTAAGATAATATTTCTTAACTATTTTTTTACATTATTGTCTCCCTAAGGAAGCTTTTTAGAAATTCTTTTCTAAATCAGTTCTTCTTCATGAAATCTTAATAGCACAGATACACTATGCATATACTGTATATGTATCTGTGGTTTCTGCACAAATAGAGTAAGATTTTCTTGCTTATGTTGAGAATGCATGCCTTAAGAGTACAGTTGGCTGTCCCCATTTGTGGGCTCTGCATCTGAGGACTCAACCTACCGTGGATTGAAAATACTCAGGGAAAAAACTCCCAAACATCCAAAAAGTAAAATGGGAATGTGCCACGCGGTCTACTCTTTACATTGTATTTACAAATCATCTGCATTGGAAGTGTTGGTTATGTAATGATTGACTGCTTGGTTGGGGGAGGTGTGGTTGGTACTTGGAAGAGAGGTTGGGGATAGCGGTGCAGATGTTCAGGGTGTACTGTTTAAAGAAATGATAGTGGATGAGATAGGCCAGGGATAAAACAGAACAGAGAGGCACAGAATGCATGCTATTTAATATGGCAATGCAATGCATTCATGCATGTGTGCTCAGTCGTGTCTGATTCTTTGTGACACCATGGACTGTAGCCCTCCAGACTCCTCTGTCCATGGGATTCTCTAGGCAAGAATACTGGAGTGGGTTGCCATTTCCTTCTCTGGGGGAATCTTCCCAACCCAGGATCAAACTGCATCTCTTGCATCTCCTGCATTAGCAGGCGGATTCTAGTCAGCAAATCGTGAACAAAGAGAACAATTAGTGAGATGACAAGAGATCCAGGAGGCATGGTGTAATCAAAGTCAAGGAGACAGTGTAACAGTGGGGAGGAATCACAGTTCAAAAGTTTTAGGTCCGATAATTATAAAAACTCTAGCCACCATTTACTGAGAATTTGATAAATGCCAGCTGATTTACATAGTTGTTACTGATTCTTAAAACACTGCACTGTTTTCATTCCATTTGCAGAAGAGAAAGACCATCAGCTGTCAGCTCTCCCACTTGCTGACTAAGTGTGTTGAGACAAGTTTCTCTATCTTTCTAAGATTCCTTACTTACTAGATGGGTATAATAACTCTTACCTTGGAGGATTGGTATATAAAGTAATTAGCCCAACATCTAACACAAAGTGATAGTACCATTGTTATTCTTACCAGAGCACTCACTCTTAGGTGCTATCCAGGAAGAATTATATAAAGGGGCACTATTTGAGGACCCTTGGAATAAATTTTATCTGTTTATTGTGTTCTAGAGTATTGTTCTGAATCATAATTGTGTATAGTCATAATAAAATGTGTGAATATTAAATTAGCCTGATTTCATTTTTTTTTTTTGAATTTTCTAGCCATGATAGAAGGAAGCCCACAGCTGAACATGGTTGGGCTCTTTCGACGAATAATTTCTAAAGAAGGACTACCAGGACTTTACAGAGGCATCACCCCAAACTTTATGAAGGTGCTCCCTGCTGTAGGCATCAGTTATGTGGTTTATGAAAATATGAAACAAACTTTAGGAGTAACTCAGAAATGACATGTTGAATTTTTTGCTTTAGCATGATTACTGAAACTTTCAACTGTCTCCAGAGTGACATTTTCTCCTAGAGTTGAAACAAATCTATGACAGAAAGAAGCTTTATTTATTTTTTTTTCATGAAAAGGAAAGCATATCAATGATAATTTCAGACATTTGGACTCAATTTTATATATTCAGAAATGTCTAAAAAAAATCATAGTTTTGATAAGCTCATAGAATTTTGAGAAGGCCACAAAATTATAGTTTATCTTTTCATATTAGTTCTTTCTACAATCTCTGCCCAGAATCCTAAATCTGAAGAAATGTACTTGCTTGAACTAAATTTGCTTTGTGTGCTAGAATTATAAATCTTTAGTCTTTATTTTGGTTGATTCAAGTTTGTGCCAATTCTTTTATATTTAAATATCATTTTCTCAAAAACAAAATGATCAGAAAACTTGGAAACTTAAATTGTTCATATATTTTGAATTTCTTAAAATTTCCTTGTAGGATCATTAATGGAGAATCATTGCATGAAAACATACCTTACAGCAGCCAAATAGGTATAGAGTTTATATTCTTTCTTTAAGCAGAATAAGAATGAGTGTTAAATGGCAGAATTTCAAGGTGTGTGAATACCCTTGTCCACTCATATAATTTTTGTGTAAGGAGGAGTGATAAAATAATATTTATTTCAGTGACCACTTCTCCATTTTGCTTGTACTATTGTTTGGTTTTCAGGACGACACACTGCTTATTAGCGTATCACTGGCAAATTGTTGATGCAAGGCAACTTATTTGAGAGATTCTGTTTATTATCATTGTTTTGAAAAGCATCAGGAAAGAAAACCCCTTTACTTATATCAGTCTCTGAAGAGCGTCTTTCTTCTCTTTGTCCTTTCTCTCCTATTTGAATCAAACTCCTGTTTTCACCAGGAAGGCTTCTGGAGGCCATTCCTGGTTATCTGAAATTTCTTAATTACGTGAAGTAGGTTGATCGTGGGTGAATGGCATTCTCATTACCCCCTCACCATTTATTTGACACTGCAATTCCCAACTTGGGCAGTGTGAACCTAGCAGAATAGTATGTATTAAAAACAGTGTATATTAATTCTGCATATCTGGTGCCTATAATGAAATGGAAGGCCCAGTTTACAAACAAGTACATTCATATTTTCTCTTGCCCCCAGTTTTAGGAACATGTTTTGATTTAGAAAACTTAAAGTGAAGCGAGAGCATGATTTTATTTTACTGAAGCCATTTTTATAAACAACTGTCTTTTCTGATTTGTATGATTAGGACTTAGACAACTATTTAGTAGTTGAAATTATTCTTGCCACTTTTCAGTGTAATTCTTAAACTCAAGTTTGATTTCTAGTAATTTCTGTCATAAGTTGCCAACATTTTAGTGAAAATCTGGTGACATAATTAGGCATTTACTTTATTTGAACCTACCTCTCATGTTTTCTAAACCAAAGAGAAATGTTGAACTTGTGTTTGTGAAATGTATCCTAACATATAGTTTTCATTATATTTGTTATGCCTGATAAGTATCTCAATGCTTTTATAATACATATGATAAGTGTGAAACTCTGTCTTCAGGGTGTTTGTACTTTTGAGTAATGCGTAAATGACAATATTAAGGTACTAGATTAGCTCTTTCTTTCACTCATAAAATTATGGGATGAGTAAAATTTCAGGCTACTGAAAACATTCATTGTTCATTATGAATTTAAGTTGTTTTATATTTAACATTTGTAAGGTATGAATGTGATTTATCTGTGTATCTTGTGTCTTTTGAAAAAATCTTGAATTTTTTGAAAAGAGCCCAGAGTCAAGAATAGTTTATTTCTGGCATTACTGCATATTTGCTTTACATTTATAATTAAAAATACATATATGTTTGTTTTTGAAATGTCTTGTTTCCTCATTTTAAAAAAATAGTGTGAGGCAAAAAAAAAAAAAGACTGTGATATAGTTGTTATCACTGGCAGCAGTTTGAATAATGTTTATAGTATTATTGGGTAAGACTCATTATAGTCTTTCCAAATATTTTGGCCTTTTCTGAACACCTGCAACAATTGTTAAATCTGTCATACATTTTGGTATAAGATGATGTTTTTTGTGATGTCCACATTCCACATTTACCAATAAGGGTGATACCCCTGGGGGTCACAGGCTTCCCTGGTGGTTCAGATGGTAAAAGAACCTGCCTGCAATGCAGGAGACCTGGGCTTGATCGCTAGGTTGGAATGTTCCCTAGAGAAGGGAATGGCTCCCCACTCCAGTATTCTTGCCCGGAGAATTGCATGGACAGAGGAGCCTGGCGGGCTGCAGTCCATGGGGTCACAAAGAGTCTGGTATGACTAAACAACTAATACTTACCTACCTGGGGGTCGCAGTGCCAAGGAGAATCTGCAGTCTTCTTGGTACATTTGGTGGAGTATCAGTTTGCCTTGAAGTTGTGGGAAACAAAAGCGAAGTGTGTTTGTGTGTGTGTTAGTCTTTTGGTTGTGTCCAACTCTTTGCAACCCCATGGAGTGTAGCCAACCAGGCTCCTCTGTCCATGGAGTTCTCCAGGCAAGAATACTGGAGTGGGTAGCCTTTCCCTTCTCCAGGGGATCTTCCTGACCCAGGGATCAAACCCAGGTCTCCTGCACTGCAGGCAGATTCTTTACTGTCTGAACCACCAGGGAACCCCCCAAGTAAGTTTACTGGTAAGTATTTAAAGCAATTATATAATTGAGATGATAAATTTTGCTAAAAAGATAAAACATAAGACTGCAAAGGAATTCTGTGTTCCAACTTGAATGCTCCCCAGCCTCCAGGAAAAACACATTAGCCCTCTTTGACTCTCAGGGACCCTTTATTAGAAAAATGCCACCAGTTTGTTTCCTACCTGTTTGTCTTGTATCGCCATCCAGAGAGTAAGTTTCACATGAACAGACATTGTATTTGGACTATTTTGTCCTTTGAGCTTTACCTCAGGTCCCTTGTGTAAAATCATGGCGTGGTTTCCCTATCCCCAGATAAGAATTTCCCTGGTTCTTTTGTTCTCACGGAATTTCTCTGTTTTGCGAAGAGCACCAAGGAATAATTAGGTGTAGAGGGGAGCGACCAACATCCTCCCTTCACCTCTTTTGCCACATGCCCCACCTGGGGGACACACAGAGCAGGCTGAACTTGTTTAGACCATTCTCTGGGATGGCACACCCTGCCCGGTGCCCTCTGCCCTCCTGCTTCCCTGCAGGACAGAGCTGTGCCAAGGTCCACGCTGCCGAGGCCTGGACCTGCTGCTGCCCTCTGACCACAGTTGAAGACACCTCTTCACAACCTTCTGTGCATGAGTTTTTGGTTTTGGTTTTGTTTTTTTGCTTGCTTTGTTTGTTTGCTAATTTGCCCGTTCTCTGGTTGTCGCTGGGCTCCACAGCCCTATATTCAGATGCGCGGCCACAGCCCCTGCAGCACTGTTTGCTGTGAAAGCAGAAACGCTCCAGGCCTGGGCCACTTGGCATTTATTCCATCAACATTCACTTGCTCTTTGATGCTTTCTGGGAGTGTTTGTTAACTGCCTACTGTATGTCAGACACTTTTTGGGACTGAGGTCACAGCACTGAACAGGACTTTATACCTTTCCTAATGGAGATTATCTAGTGGAGACAGACAACAAAGTAAGTAAAATACATAATATGTCAGATGGTGTAAGTGCAGAAGGCAGGGCTGAGGCTGAGGTGGTGATTTTGGGTAGAGAAGAGCTTGCTGAGAAGGTGCTGTTTGAGCAAAGGGCTGAAGGGGCACCGGAATGGGCCACACTGATGCCTGTCCAGGAAGGGCATCCCAGGCAGAGCGGACACGGGAAGAGGCCCAGGGTGGAGGAGGACACCCAGGAGGCCAGAGCAGCTGGAGTGAGGGGAGCAGAAGGGAGGGTAGTAAGTGATGGAGCCACAGAGGGCTGGGGGGAGGCCAGTCGGCCGAGCATTGCCACCTGCCGCAATGCCGCAGTTCCGTGGTGACGCTTCGTAACCAAGTTTCAGGTGTGTCTCCTCTAGGGGTAGGAGTCTCATTATTGGAAACGTCATTGGAAGACACCTGCACTCTTGTAACCCTTGTGTCCATCACACACAGAACGGTTTTCCCTGCAACTGCTGTCCCAGCCTAGAGACCGCTTCCCCAGGTGGCGGGTCTGTTGGCTACTCTCTGCCTTACCCTCTCCAGGGAGGATTCTGATTTTTTAAAAAGAGAAATCAGAGACCTTAAAATGTTTCTAGATGGTTTTCTAAGAGTTAGAGAACTTGAATCTTAGCACTTAGCAAACACACAAGACTGTATTGTTGTGTTCACTCCCTTCTCTGACCACCTTGTATCTGCCCAGGATTTGCTTATAATTTGTACAAGCTGTACAATATGCAAATAACCCTTTTATTTTTTGTGAGTTGATATTGTCCTGCTTTGAATTACTTTCTGGAAGTCAAGATAATAGTAACCAAAGACATGATTGGCATTTTGTTACTCTTAAAAGAGGGCCAGGGATTCTAAAGCATTCTAAAGTACTATTTCAAACGGAAACTTATCGCAAATCCTTGGTGTTTGCTAATCAGGTGTGTTTTTGAAGAGTTTACACTCATCTCTTTACACACTGTTCCACACAATGCAGTCATGACCGTGGGTTCAGGATGAATTGGCTTCAATTCCAGCACTTGTGATCAGTGTCAGCCGCAAATATGCATCACTCAGCCTTCATAGGGAGTCCCTACATGAATCTTGGTGTGGCAAAAACTGGCATGTGAAAAAAAAACTGTGACATTTCTGAAGTTTATATAAACTAGCTTAAATACAGCTGGAAGCTCTGTACTACGCAGTGTTGTACCAGTGACCTGGGATCTTGGCCCCTCTAGGTGGCCCCACCAGTTGCTGCTAAAGGGCCCTTTGTTGCAGCCTGCATGGTCCCTTGGATCCAGAGGCTGTGCTGGGCTTGGCATGGTAGTAGTTGGTAAGACATGGGACGTCTGAGCCTGGGGTCTGGCCTATGCACTCTGCAAGGCTGAGGAGTTGCATGTGATTCTTATTACCTTGGGATCCACCAACCTTTGTCTCCTTCCCAGTCCCTGGGTTGCCCCTTTATCTCTTTGCTCTTAAAAGCACCTATCTGCTCTTCCCCTGGGACTCCTGGCCTCTTATCTGCAGGTAACTTGCAAAAGACAGAAGAGCCTCTGGTTGAAAGTGACTTCTGTTTTCCACTTTTAAAAATCACTGAGGGGAGGCGATACTGAAGCCTGACTTCCTTGTCTGAAATGGGATGAAAGGGAACATACAGGGGGAAATGAATATATATTAATCTCTCAGTTATTTTACCGTAGGCTCTGTAACCGCCTCCTACCCCTTGTACTCTGTCTCAGGAATGAGTGTCATTGTGCCACAGAGTGGCGGGCTCTGCTCACTTGAAACAACACATCCTTTGCCTACTGAGTCTCTAAATCCCCAGAATGTTACTGGTAAGTGGCAATGCAACTTCATGGCCAGGTGGTTCAGTAAACAGTGTGCTAAATGAAAAGCCAATATTATAATTCACAGTTGATACTTTTTAAGGGCTTAGGAGGTGATGGAAAGTAGAGGGCAAAATTAATTGTAATGTGGGAAAGGATGATAAGATCCTTCAGAGTTAGAACTGTTTCTAAATCTGTTTTGTTTCTGGATGATTTAAAATATGAGTGTAAGCCTTCACTTCTGAAGTGGGTGATAAAGTGCTAGTGTAGACTTACCGGTAATAAAAATGACTTGGGCTTGAGTCTCTTACAGTAGAAGGATCTGCAAGAAAACAAGGTGAGGAGAAGTTTTAAAGTCCATCCACCTGTGATTTGTTCCTCCTCTGATTTTGTTCTCTCCTTCTTTACTCTTTATAAAGATGTCCCTCCTGGACAAATAAGAGAAAATCATCCATAAGATAATAAAACTATATCAAGGCAAGGAGAAAGTAAACAACTGAAGAGTTTTGCTATAGTTTGAAAGTTCTGCTCTTTTGTGTATTTGTCTTCTTTGACTAGTAAAAATGTACAGCTATTGTTTTAGGGAATTCTGACCAGATTATAGGAAATGCTCCTATCTCTGCCAGGCATTAGTAATTCCCTGATTGTTCTTACAAAGCAATCAGCACAAAGATTGACAACATCATGAGACATACATTGATTCAGCAAAATTCTATTTTTTTATGGTACAATTAACTAATAATCAGATGGTGACTGCTGGTGAGATATTTCCCTCCCCCTCTCAGAACACCCAGCAGTGGAGTTCCTCTGCGTCAAGAGGGGCAGGAAGAAAGACCTGGAGAGGTTGGTTCAGTACAGACCTGTGGACATGCCCTTAAGATGAGAAGTGAACCGGCAGCCTTATTTTCACTATGATAATTGCTCATTGTTGTTCAGTTGCTTAGTAGTGTCTGACTGTGACCCCATGGACTGCAGCATGCCAGGCTTCCCTGTCCTTCACCATCTCCTAGAGTTTGCTCAAACTCATGTCCATTGAATCAGTGATGCCATCCAACCATCTTATCCTTTGCCACTGCCTTCTCTTTTTGCCTTTAATCTTTCTCAGCATCAGGGTCTTTTCCAATGAGTCAGTTTTTTGCATCAGGTGCCCAAAGTATTGGAGCTTCAGTTTCAGCAGCAGTCCTTTCAATAAATATTCTGAGTTGATTTCCTTTAGAATTGACTGGTTTGATCTCCTTGCAGTCCAAGGGACTCTAAAGAGTCTTCTCCAGCACTATAATTCCAAAGCATCAATTCTTTGATGTTCAGCCTTTTATGTGGACCAACTCTCACATCCATATATGACTACCGGATAAACCATATCTTTGACTATATGCATCTTTGTCAGCAAGGTGATATCTCTGCTTTTTAATATGCTGTCTAGGTTTGTCAT